TAGTCCCGGAGGCCGAGACAAAGTGTTTACATGGATAAACGTTGTCCCTACCATGCACTATAGGGTTATCCTCTTTGGTAAACAGGATGTCCCCCACCTACCAACCGAGGCGGTGAGTGTAAAACCTTTCATATAAACACTTGCATATAAACATATATAATAAATGCTCCAACGAATTTGTCTATTAGAAGTTTTATATTATATATTGGATATTCGAATTCGAAGCTTTCAACTATAGAACATTCTATATTTCCATTTTTCGTGTGTGTTTCAAGCAAAAAACGAACATTTATTCGTTCAGTTTCAAATATTTATTTACTCAAAGTATTTCGTTAAAGGTTTGTTTTTATCGTGCATTTGCAAAATGAATAAAATACAGTGCTATAATCACCGAAGCAGTTGTCACCGCAGTATATTCATTCGTCGCAAATTATCTATAGGTCAAGCGCATGTGGGAGCTGATTAAGGCGTTATTTACTTTTCATTTAATTGACTTTATTTTTCAGTTGAAAAATGTACTATATTTTATCTCATAAACTATATAAAATAGTATTAATGGAAATTGAACTGCAATATTCATATATATAGTCTATATTCGCTACTTAGCTAATTTGGAAGTTAGAGATCATGCATATATATATATATATATATTATATATATATATATATTATATATATATATACGAACAATTTTCGATGATTAAACTGCAGCGGGAGGTCATTCCAAGCCACAACTCCCCTGTAGGCAAATTTTCCATTTATTTTTAATTGATTAGGTAATGTTAAATGAAGTATCGAATTTGTCCTAGTAAACATTTCCGTTAACTTTGGTAGCATGTTATTTCTATAACTTAGAATCGCTAAGTTGACGTTTTCTAATTTAGAAACTCCATTTCCCAAAATTTTCTAATTTAAAACTCCATTTGCCTTTGGTGTTTTTGTGAAGAACTTGCCAAACGACCAACCATGTCAGACGACCAAGGAATGCGATCAACACGCAGAAACAAGGTAGCGTTTAAAATAAAAGTATTTATATTATATGGACATGCATGGGTGTTCTACCGTATAACACTCATATTTTCCATATTTCACCAGTGAAAAATAAAAAAAATATGTAATGGGTGTTTTTTGTTTTACAGCTTTGTTTTGTTTTATTATTAATAATTTATTGAGTTTCTTCTCATTTTTGTCCATAATAAACGGAACATTCGCTGGAAGATATGGATTTTTCATATGTTCTCTTGTCAAAAAAAAATCTCACTCATTCCATGCGCTCACTCGTTTTTACTACTCGAACACACAACCCATATTTTCTTGCAACCGTTTAATATCCTATACCGCCCCAGATTGAGCACCACCCCAAAATGAGCGCGCCGCATTTGCGATTACTGCAGCCTAATATTAAGAGGGCATTTTATATCTTATAGAGAAAAGGACAATTCTCCCTACCTAAAGACGAAGAACACCTCGAGGAAAGATACATCGATGATATCGGTACTAAATCAGTATAATTTAATTTTCTTGACCGGCAGACCGGCCCATATAGCAATTGCCAGCTACGCTTATATCATAAACTTTATACATATAATTATCAAGTCATTCTATTTTTCCATTTTATTATTCCATTTTTCAGGTCGAGGAGTTTTTACCACAAAAACATTCTCCAAAGGGGATTTCCTTCTAGAATACAAAGGGGAATTAATTTCTCAAGAGGAAGGTTACATTAGAGAGAAGAATTACCCTGACGACCTTGGAAGCTTTCTTTTCTTTTTCCAACAAGGAAATGCCTCATTGTGGTATGTTCAGGCTAATAACGTCCATCCAAGCACTGCTTCAACATTTAGGACTGCTTTTCACTTACGCGATTTTCATACGCACGTACACGCACGTAAAAGTCTAAATCCTTATATATGTCATAAAGCCAGATGAATATATCGAAAGAACCTAGTTTTCCGTATATTTTAGTATGCAATTGTTGATCCATGTGTTAAATATAATCAAAATTTGGAAGCATTTAAATTTTTCTGCGCGTAAAAAAACGAGACAGTGGAAGGCAGCCCTTACTAAGTGTTTGAATAATTTGCTTGAAATATATTTTTAAACAATGAGTATTGTACGTGCTCTTTCGTTGAACCTAAATTACTACATTGGCTCGATCGTCATGTTTGCTGTGACTGTTTTAAATTCAGGCTTAGGTGTTTCTTTTTGAAAGTGCTACACCTACGCGGCCTGGAGCCGAAGAATGTCGCTTCTATAAACAAATTCTCCTGAAAGGTCGAAATAAGGTCATTTTATTTGAAAATTCAGTCTTTCAACAAGTGCAATCATTTCGGCAGGATAATAATATTTTCTTCCAAAAAACTTCCATTGTTGTTATGCACGGTAAATGCCTCAGATGCACAAGCACAATTATTGTACTTTGAACTATAGATGTCCAAGTTGAAAATTAATCAATCTTCAATGAACTTATACAATTGTTCAGTTTTTGTTTCACTGCATGATATCTTTATGAATTCTGATGCATTGATACGCCTTAGCAGCAGTTGGTACAATTGCGGGTTGAAATGCGTGTTACTATAAACGAGTTTTATATACACACAAAATTCCAACTATGGACTCTTATGTATATTAACTAAAATTATATTACAGTGTCGATGCAACTTATTCAGACGGACTTGGAAGACTGGTTAATGATGCCGAGGCAAGAGTGGCGAATTGTCTGATGAAAAGACTCATCATTAATAGTCAACCTCACTTGGCAATTTATGCTAAGAGGGATCTATGTAAAAACGAAGAGTTACGCTACGATTACGGTGTGAAGGACCTTCCATGGCGAATTCAAAAGGGTATATAAATGACATAAATTAAACTTGCATGTCTTTTATAGCTCAACCGAAATGAATGACAAACTTAGCAAACTTGACAAACCATTTTATACGGTCTGAAGAAAACTTATACTTTTTTAAAAATTGACCACTGGATTCAAATTATTATAATTCTAATTAACCATTATACCCTACAGACCGATTAAAACACAAACGAGAAAAATTCACAGGGCTAACGATCGCAGAGAAGGCAAATGAAAGTGCCAAAGGTTGGTTAGAATAACTGAAAAGATAGAGTTTATATTTACTTAGCAAACATGCATCTTTGAAGCCAATTTGAAGCCGAATTGAGCACCAGAGTCCCTTTCTATTCTTTTTCGGTGCGATTGCCAGCAGTGGCGTAGCCAGCATCATTAATTGGGGGCATATATTCATATATATTCATGTTAGAAGACTGTAAAGACGATTGATTTGAAAAGAAATTAATCCTGCGCGTATCGTGAATATATGAATATGCCCCCCCCCAACTAATGTTCTGGCTACGTCATGCACCGATCGCCAGCCGTGAAGGCAAAAAATGAAAATAGACTTCATGGCACCATGGTTCCTAATTGGCTTCAAAGGTGACCACCAAGTTATAGTCCCAGTTCACATAGAGCACCCATGGTTTGTCCTTGTGCCTTAGGGCGTTATTTTCATATCGGGGTACTGTAAAATCTTGTAGTAACGTTATCTAATAGAAGATTATAGTCAAACTCAATATTGCAAAATATCATTATTATAATATTCATATTTCGATAATAAAACAATGCAATGAACTGTTTTTAAGTAGCATTCAGTGAGTATAAACTATAACGCAGAGGACGCCGGAAGATCGATAAAAGACGATAATTGGGGGGGGGCATATATATTCATATATTCAAGTTCACAGACCGTAAAAACAATCAATTTCAAAAGAAAGCAATAATGCAGAACTCGAATATATATGAATATATGCCTCCCCAATTATCGATGTTTCGGCGTGCCTGCTATAACGAACATTGCCTGGTACAAGACTTTTAGTTTCTGTAAAAGCTTATTGAAAATACGCTGATTTGTAGACCAACAAAATGAGGACACTCCCCTCGGATCCATGGTTATTGATGATCATGCTCAAGTTACTAGTAAGTAGTTGTTAGTTTAATGCACGACATTTACGCCTAGATGCAGTTAAAGTAGCATTAATAAATTTTTTCTACGTCTGCAGGCCAAGCGAACAACCAGAGTAACATTTCGTGTGTCACGCCTGTGTTTCCACAAAGGCATTTGGAGGATTATGTCATTACACGTATGTGATTGCTCATGTAATTTCACAATTGAAACTTTTCTTAACCTGTATCTGAGGAATATATAAAAAAATAAAACAAGGGCAGCAGCTACTTTCATGCATGCAGTAAAACTAAGCAATATCAGATAAGTTGATAAAAAAGCAAGCCATTGCTGTTAGCCATAGAGATTTCATGCAGAGGTGACATTTAGTTGTTGTTAATTGTTGGGTGCTCATTTGAAATATTTTTATAACTATGTAACGAAGCCTACACCCATGACGAGTCTGTCGCCTTGGAAACAGACAATCATGTCCTGGTTGCCAGTAAGTGTTGTAAATTTAGTGTACGTTATAATATACATTCTCGGACAGGTATATATGCCGTGGCGTAGCGAGCCCGACAATTTAGTCATGCTATGCTAATATTTTGGTGTTCATTGACTGTGAAAACAATGAATTTCTAAGGAAATGAATAATGATAATAATATAAAATTTGCGTAGCATGACTAAATCGTCAGGCTGGCTACGCCACTGTATATAGATGTGAAGAGGGGCGTAGCTAGAACGAGAATCGGAGGGCGAGGCTGTTTATTCAGATATCTATTTCTGTCCGATGGATTTCTTTTGTAACACTTACAAAAGAAATCCGTCGGCCATGCCCTGAATATAAACTGGATGTGAAAATATTTCTTCCAGAAAAATGATATAAATGTAACGTTCTCTTAACTCTGAACAGCTACGGCTACTTAATTGACGAGGCAAAATAAACTAATGAAAAAAAAGAAATCAGTTTAATATTTAAAAACAAAGTATAGCTGCATGTATACTGCATGCACAGCTTAACGAGAAAATGATCCAAATATTCGTGCATTCACATTAGTATGTCTGCTTTACCTCGAATGACCAACTTGAAGAGGCTTAAAGTTTTTAACAAAACAAACCGATTTTAATTATGAAAGGTCCATCATGTATGTCCACAAAAATTAACGTAAATTATAGCACCCGTTATACCTTTTGATTATAACTCCCGTCTGTATAGTGTGACCTCTGGTTAGCCTTAGTAGTTGTGTATTTTCATTGAAGTTTACCTTCATATATGTAGAACAAGAAAATGACGATGCGACAGTTTCCAACGAAATAGATGACTACGCTCAGATTACATGTAAGTAAAAAGCTAGAGCGAATATAAATTGGATAAACCTAAAGGAATTTTACCGAATGGAATTTTTTCAATTAACTGACGTTCACTCACCCGTATTCTGGCATTTGAAACACCTTACTTCTTGCCCATAGCCTTCTGGCCCTATTCCAACACCGCAAAATATATGGACAGCACGATGACATGATGCGCACATATGTGCCCCCGATACCTCCCCAAAGCAAACATGGCACTGATCATCTGTTATATCTAAAGTTTGAAATTACATGTATACTACGAAGTGCAGAAAATGTCAGATTGTTTATCTTTTTTAGTCAAGTTACAACGTTTACTTACTGGTAATCTGCATGGAATGATCATCGATCTCCATGGAAACTATAGTAGATTCATTATGGTGTTCTACATGTATGTAAACATTTATATTATATATTTATATTGAATTATATGAATTATGTACATTACCTTGTACCAGATAATCACATGCACTGATGTACCGCGTAAGAATAATTGCTTACTATTGAATGTATATACTCCGAATATATTCAATTCCCGTGGTGTAACGTTGATGCAATAATCTTTGCTAAAGAGGAATATATAACTATAATTTATATTCTTGTATATAACTTACTCTGCTGGATTTGTCCATCAATTTCCATGGAAAATTCTGCACCGGTAGCAGAGTTGTCTTTTTCTTGTTCTATATTATATTATATAAGCATAAACTTTTTAATGTATGATACATATTCCTAAAGGAAAACATTTTATAAATAACAATATAACGTATATCTTAGGAATTAAACCGTTACCATAAGCTTTCGATCAAACAATACGTGTAACGTAATTTTTTAATGCCATATTGTGAATTGGCAGCATGCAGATATATAAGTTATAGTTGATGTGCCGTTATATTTCATATGTATCTTGTATAGAAATGCATATAATCACATTTGCATGGGATTTCAATCAGATTACACAACATATGCAATTCTAATTAGATTTCGAGTATCTATCTATATATCTATCTGCGGCCAACGTTTTTGCAAACGGGTGTATATATATATATATCTTGACTGGTTTAAAACTTGTTGAGACCTACCAATGACACTTTCCTTTAATTTCTCTTGTTTATCAATCACTGACAGTGCTTTATAATTGTGCAAAAAAGTAATGACAGTGTCATTATAAGTTTATTTTTTACTTATATAGATTTATATAGATGGTATACGAGACAAATATCAAGGGAAAATAGGGTGGCTACTTTTTGCGGATTCGTGAACAATGATATTGTGCACAAGACACAAATATGGCTGCGTTTATTTTTTCGCGTTTTCCTGTGAATATAGCTATTTAGCTATGCATGACTGCCACTCATTTCTGGCTTCAGCTAAGGTGGCTACAAATTCCCCTTAAAAACAAATGTTTATAGAATGCATTAAATAACCTGACGTATTATCCTAAAATAAATTAAACTCTAGGTTTGACATGGTGGAAATTCTTGGAAAACGAAACAGAAAAGTTCCCGTGTTGCTGACACCTGATGTAAAAGCTGCCATACTTGTCTTGAACAGGACAAGGGAAGATGGGAATGTGAACGAAGAAAATCCCTATGTTTTCGCAGTGAATGACGGAAGTTCAAAACAGTTTTTACGAGGGAACGATGTTATACGTCAGGCATGTAAAATGGTTGATCTTAAAAATCCCGACGTGATTACTTCAACCAACCTCCGAAAGTATGTGGCAACTGTGTCGCAGCTCGTTGACATGGATCAAAATGAATTGGGATGGCTGGCAACTCATCTTGGTCACGACGTGCACATCCATAAAGAGTTCTACAGGATGCAAGAAAGCACACTTGAGATGGCAGTAGTTGGTAACCTCTTAATGGCCATCGATGAAGGGAGGGCACACGAATTTAAAGGGAAAAACCTGCGGGACATTACACTTCAAGGTATTGTCAGAATGATAAAATTATTACATCAAACACCAAAATAAGCGCCGCCATACGGCAGATAACTTACAATTATTTACATTAACTGATTAGTATAGGTAATGATAAGAATAGGTGAAGAAGAAGAATTAAAATTTCTTATCTTATTCCAGACTTTCACAATACTCAGAGTGAAGAGGATGCCGAGTCTGAGTTAGATAAAGGTAAATATTTCTAAGTAACACTGTTATACCAATTCCAGTGGTGGTGTGATCCAGGTGCTGTAATATTGCGGTTAGTGATACACAGTATATATATATATATATATATATATATAAATATATATATATATATATTATATATATATATATATTGTGTATGTGACATAAAACTGTTCAATTTCAGTTAACAGGCTCTTGGAGACACAATTTATGAACATTAATACATCACACAAAACCTATATATAGGCAGGTTATATGCAAATCCTATAGGCAACTACATGTACCCTTAGTGGTTATAGCTTCAGCCGGCATCCGGATCTAAATAAACTTCGTAACTTTCTTAACTGAATTTGCGCGTTGATACGAACGCTAGTAAGGCACGTTTCTCTCTGTCTCTGGGTCTCCGTTAGTAAAGTTTATCAACCTTCGGTTCATTGCGACAGGTAAAGTTGCTTAATTCAAACAGCATATTATATACCCAACAAAGCCTTCAACAACCGTGTGTTATACTGCATATATTTTATACGTAATCCTGAAATTCTTCAGGCCAAAATCTTTAATCTGAAGTCCGAAAATTGCTAAATTGCACTTTCTATGTTACTAAATATCTCAATATATATATATTGTAGAAAACCGATTCCCCCAGAGCAACATAACATCGCCATCGCTAACTTCTGCTGGCAAAAGGACAACGACCAAAAAGGGTAAGGCTACATATGTGGCTTTTACTAACATTAATTGCTCTCAAACAATAAATCGCTTTGCGAGCAAGTGGTACAATTGTCTTATAATATAACTACTATAAATACCATTTTATGAGCGAAATAAACATTGCATAATTGCAATTAATTTCAGTCAATCTTTATCCCCACATACAAAGAAGTCCGAAATCCAATCCGAAAAAATATAAGGGCCTGAAGCCAATATGATGCGCACGTAAATTGGCAAAAAAATCATCAGTTGACTTACCAGGTTGTTTTCAGCCAAGCAATGTTCAATATTTTCTAAAACAGAAAATCAATATATATTACATATAAGATCTCCATGTATGGGATTTTCAATGGCTTAAATTTTCAATGCTAGACAGTTTTAAACTTTTTAACCCTAGGAACGAACAAGTCCACTGAAAAGTCTAAAAAACATTGTAACAAGAAAAGGGGAACCCTCGAGGCAGGTAAGATTGTTGCAAAAATTTTAATTTCTGCATCATCAGTGACGCATGAATTTGTATAACGGTTAACCACACTGACTGTAACATATTGACAAACACTTGAGGAACGAAGCAGACACTTACTCAGGCCTAAGTAAATTTGCTCTCATTAAATTTCACCTCTGCTATTGCATCGTTATCAATTCTTTATCGTCTTCGAATAACATGCTATCTAACGCACAAAGCAAAACCATGCAGCCGATTCGCGACAGAAAAGTTCGTAACTCTCACAATATTAAACATAGAATGCATGCAGTCCATGAATGCTTATCATATATATGTATAGTAGCTATTTTTGAGACCTTGGGAAATATTTCCCTATGCGGACCTCCAATCTGGTAAATCACATATATGGTAAATCACATATATTTACTCGTTAACACATGCACGAATTAAAGTTTTTTTATTTGTCCGAAAAATGTGGATATTAACATATCATAATGCGTGGTCAAGAGTCATATGCTCAGAGGTTTCAAATTAAAAACGATATACTAACAGTCCATACCCATGAAGGGTAAATCATGCATAATCAGGCAGATTATATTCTGCAAAGGGCAAACCTAGTTAATTGAGGCTATTATTGCCACATTATGTTACTTAAGGCACTGTACAAAAATTGAATAACCTTTTGGAAATAGTGAGCAGTATTTGTACTTACTCTCCGCGCCTGTCTCGGATATATTTTGTCTTTATACAAAATCGGAACATGCTGAACACAATACAAATATTTTTTCCACAAATCTCGGAAAAGATCATTCATTACAAGATCTACAAAGAGAATAAATGAAAATAACTTATCAGCAAAAATTAGTGGCATAATACTTTTATGGACTTTACATTTGAATTATCAACCGGGTAAGCTGATATATATGTAACGAACAATCAATTTTGTCACTCATAAGTCGTAACTAGACGAAAGACCGTCAGCCGTTCCATAATCATGTATTAACAATTTAACTTACCCAGGTCAATAGCTAACTATGTTAACTTGTATTACATACAGTCTGTAATGAATTTACTATAATTATATAGGTCAGCAACGAAAGATGGTGGCGAAGAAAACGTGGACAACGCCAGAAAGAAAGCGTTGAAAACATTCCAAAAACACATTCAAAATGGAGTGCTACCCAAAAAAAACGAGTGTGTTAAGTTTTTGGAGGAGAATCACGGGATAGTACAAAACAGAACATGGACAAACGTGAAGGATTATGTGAGAAACTACACCGTGAAAAGAAGTAAACAAGTTCGAATCCTTTTATATTTTATTCAGAGCAGAACGCGGCTTGTTGAACTTGCCTCTTTATATATGATATTTTAGCCAGAATGCAATTTCAAATTCTTCACCAGCATTCTCGTTAATGCCGCTCTGATTCTGATCGTGAATTATAGAAGTGAAGTTGCTACGTGAATGTTAAAAAACTAAGAAACATTGTCTTTGCTGGAAACAAATGGCCAGCGATAAAACTGAATGACGTCATCGTGTGAATCAGTCGTAAATCTGCAGACGTCAAACCAATTCTATTATTTTATGTTTTCAATTATAACCTCAACATAACAAGAATGTCTTATATTAAACGGATCTCTTTTCTTCAGATTACTTTGAAAGTGATTCCAATGACAATTATGGAGCGACGACCTTAGAAGGACTATTGCAACATATAGTGACTTTGAAACTGATGACATATTTAGTGAAAGTGTACAGTAAGACCTTAATTTGTAAACAGACATTTAAGTTTAAAGCCATTTTGTTGCACAAACAATTTTCACTAAAATGTTCGCTGCAATTTTCTTCTGTTGTGATTCTAAACAATTCATTAGCCACGTTCTAAATGAAGACAGCAAGTCGGATAGTTATATGTTTGTCTACATATAACATGACTGCTCTAAGCATCGGACAAACAATGATTTAATGATGTACAAAAATAACACAAACAACTGCACCATACCTGACAGCAAAAATTGTTTGTGCAAGAGTCGCAATAAAACTTTTGGGTAACTGTATTAATTAATTAATACTTCTGATTCACTTGTGCTATTATGAAAGCTAAGAAGGGAAAACTATGACATTGAGTTGTGTTCAGATATTTTTGCACAGTTTGTTTCAGATTGTTTGTTATAACATGCAATGTGCATTTAGTGCAAGCTGTAAACAAACTTTTCACATGTATATATAATATAATCTAAGGTTTTCACACCATAAAGCATGATTCAATACAAATATTTTGTTTATGTAATTTTGTATAATGTATTGTATAATTTTAAAAATGTCATAAGTTGATTTATGTAATAGATGTTATATAGGCCCAGTTTACATTTCAATAAATTTAAGTTTGATTTTCATGGAAAACAATTATAGATTGGTATATTTTTAGGAATTATGTATTAATGGCATATAGGTTTTGTGCTTTTTCATAATAATATACGTCACTCTATTTCTGTTTTGGCACAAATACTTTAAGACGAATGACTAAACCCATACAATTCTGCCTGCTTGAGATGAATTTTGGGTGAATAAACTGACTGGATTTAAAAAATAAGACAGCAATGCAGGCAGTAGTAATATACAATTAATAGATTAATGATCAAATATTACATTTGTGATATCAAACAGGGTTTTGAATTAACAGAGTACTGGTAGTAGCACAATTATTTTATTTTCTTACACAATTCACTTTCCAAATAATACCAAAATGGGCTGATGAATGACATTGGTATTTATCCCCTGTTTATACTACATTTAATTTACTGGCACAGCACAACAAAATGGGTACTCGTACCCAATTTTATATTTTTACTAGAGTTCAGGCTACCTATACAAAGACAGACCTGTGAAATGAGCATGAGTACCCATTTTAGCCGTGCCCATAAGTGTAGCGTAAAACGAGGCTTATACTATATAGTATATAGCCTATCAAAATAGATACTGGTAAAGCTGGCACTGCAACCATTTTGTTTGCCCACGAGACCAAACAGTCAGGAACGTACATCAACAACAAGCTCGGAAAAAAGGAAAAGATCGCTGAAAGGCAACCGCCCTCCGCTGTAATTTTAACGTAGGTGATATGCACCTGGCAATAGGGACGATAAATTTTTGTTCAGACTTCAGATACCCGATTGCACAAATTATGCACACTTATAATTTACCCTCTGACAATAAAATTCAAAATTATCTTTCAACATGTACCTTGTGGGAATAAAAATCTTCATTTCTTAGATGATTAGCCGCTAAATTCGTCCAGGACAATCCCTTCTTTAGTTTTCCAACGGGAATGGAGATTTTGCGACAAGCTTTTTATATATTATCTCATAATTTTTGAGTTCATGAATGCGAACACATATTATCCTCCATTGGATTGTATCGATCAGGTTCGTCAACCTTGTCTTTGACTCTGCCGTTTGATATCGTACTAGGTGATAATTTCGGAAAAACGGCAAGAAAAAGAATAAACCGTTTACCATATCACGAAATTCTGAAGAATACCATACAAAGGTCTTTTATCATCTTTTATTGATGGTGCGAGCATATAGGTGCGAGTATGCTCCGAGTGTCATCCGACACTTTCCGAATTGTAACCGGACAACAGCGGTCCCGTTCAAAATTTCCAACTGTATTTTATTGATTTATTCATATAATATCTACTATTTCTACTATTATAAAATGGCGCATAAACATTATTTGTCTTTTCTCAAGAAGCTGTTACGATTGTTGGACGAGTCACAGATTGAAAAGATCGATGAAAAGGAAATTCACATTGATAGACGACCATAAATACTACAATCAATGAGCATTAGGTTGACTTTAGCGCCAGTACGGACTGTTGAAATATTTTCGCCGGGTAGTAAAAGACGTTCATCAAATAACGCGCCAAGAGTACTAAAGTAAGTGCGCTTCACTTCCTACAGGCTCGGGGATTTAATATTAGGGACATTATTAAGCATGTACATGTAATGTAAGACGGCAAAACGAGCACGCGACTTAGACATTTCTTTAAATAAATACTATGGTAAAGAGTTGTTGTATATTATCAATCGTATCTATTTAATCAGGTATAAGACGTTGAAAACATTGTGTTAATATTTGGGAACAATTCTGAGAGCCTAATTCGAGGTACCGCTCACTGCGTCCTACGTCTCCCACAAGTAGAATTACAAATTATAAGTAAAATGCTGTGAGTGAATACACGTAGTACTTCCAGATAGTAATGGCAATATTGTGCGTCAAAAAACTTAATCTTGTTTACATAATGATTAACTATACAATATTATATCGTCAATTCTCCCGAGTTGAGATCGCGAATATTACGCATTCGTATAGGATGAAACCGCAGTACTATGCTACGTGTGCTCAAAAAATCATCCTGGGCCGGTTGTATAAAACTTCGTTAACTTTAACTGTGATTAGCGCTAATCACTGTAGTTAAATCCTTAACTATGATTAGTTAACTACACGACTTAACTGCGTTGCACAAACGTAGTTAGTCGGATGATTAACTAATCACGTAGTTAACTTGCGTGGAGCTTGCGTGGGGTTGTTAACAGAGAAATAACATGAAGTGTCTCGAAATTATTGACCGCTATTATTGATTTTGAACAAGACTGTGGACTCGTGTTTACAAAAATTGACAGTATTTTGATCTAAAATATTGGAAAAAATGCAATAAAACAAAAAAAAATTCAAAATAATTCAACGAAAATGGCGCTCTTAATATAGAAGGTCCCTTTGAGTCAAAATACCGGTTGCAGTTGAAAATGGAGATGGCTAATCTTTGCTAGGAAGTAGGATCGCAATTTGGTATCGACATGCACGTCTCCCGAAGCAAAAATATACTCCGTTGCTGCCCAAATGAAAAAAATAAAAGCATATTGAAAGTTTACAAGCTTCGACGGGGCCTTTTTTGAGTATATAACGGTTGACAACCTTGGTATGTGTTGATTTTAATGTTTTCTCACTCCTCAAAAGCTCAAGACGCCATTTTTAACTACGATTTGGAAAGTTAACGACGCCCTTGAGGATAGTTAACTTTAACTACTTTTTAACTGCAGTTAAGGCTAACTACACTTTTATACAACCGGCTTAACTACGTGATTAAAGTTAACTACTTTTTAACTCTTTTTAACTACTTTTTAACTGCAGTTAGCGCTAACTACGTTTTTATACAACCGGCCCCCGACCAACAAAAATCGCTGAAATCGAGATGCACGTCAACAATATAGGGCTAAATATTTATTTATTTTCAGTGACCTATTGTATTGATAACATCGTCGTCGTGCCCCCGTCCTACATGCTTAAGGTCCCTTTTGGCATGCTGCGAGGGAAGATAATATCAGCATTTCATTATTGATCGAAACATGTATAATGTCTTAATGACTGCCATGCTAGCTGAATAAAATTGTGTATAAGTCATGAACAAAGCAGAAGCATTGTGCGGTCCTCGTGTATTACAGGTGTAGCACTGTGTGGACATAAAATGCAAGTCCACATTATGGAAAAATTCTTGTACAAGTTACCACAATGATAGTCGCATTTTATACACATTTTTTACACTGAACCTGTGAAATGTCATTGTGGGAAGACTTTTTTTTTCTTATAATTCGCTATTTTTTTGTTTTTTTCGACTTTTCTGATACGTCCTGAACTGTTCGAGTTGTGTTTTTCAATGCGATTGAGGAAATTTCATTAGGATCCTCATTTTCAGATGAAAAATCTTGATAAACATTCTGTGGACTCGCTCTGAGGCCACACAATGTCCTAAGTCCGCGTAAGGTAAGACACAAACTTGTGGGAGCTCCCACAATGTGTGTTTCACAGATACATACATACATACATACATACATACATACATACATATACATATACATATACATATACATATACATATACATATACATATACATATACATATACATATACATATACATATACATATACATATACATATACATATACATATACATATACATATACATATACATATACATATACATATACATATACATATAAATATACATATACATATACATATACATATACATATACATATACATATACATATACATATACATATACATATACATATACATATACATATAC